AAGAATTACCCCGTCACATATCGGCATATTTTTATGATTTTTTTAGTTACTGCCATAACAGAAATGTAAACCATCTGTTGGATGAATATTACAGATACAGATAAGATATGTTAAAAGATTACATCATATTTATAATATTATTGCTATAGTTATATTTCTTTATATTATTGTTATAACTATAATCATTTATTTTCGTAGACAAATGAAAGATCAGATTCATCTACATTTCTTTCTTTATTTATATCCACATTACAGATACAAATAAGGTATGTCAAAAAGATTATTACATTATTAATTATAATTAATCTTTTTATTATTATAGAAAAATGAAATGCCTGATCCATCTACATTGCGTCCTTTAATTTTACTTATACCTTTTAATGTGATAGAGGCTACATAATTTCTGTCATGCACACTAAAAGCACACTAAAAAAATCAGGAGAATGGGATAACATGCAACGAAGCAGTTCTCCTCGAATAAAAGATCCTCCGTGAACAGACAATCCGAGGTATCATTATTTACTCTTTCATTGAAACACATTAAATTTTATTACAAGATATTGTTTTTTTTAAGACAAGAAATTAATATGTAATAATTAATAAAAAAATCACGAAAAAGGATAACATGCAACGAGGCAATTCTTCTCGCGTAAAAGATCCTCTGTGAACAGGCATCAATCCGAAGTAGGTATATCATTCATAATTTACTCGAGGAGAATTTCCCTGTCGCATATCCTATTCTCATGATTTTTTTACTGGGCTTATAACAGTTATTATAAACCATCTATTGAACAAATCCATATTATACAGATGAGGTATTATTATCCAAAAAAATTATTATTTTTTATATTAATTTTTATATATTACACTATAATTATAACTGTTTTAGTAGAAAGATGAAAGGCCAGATCCATTTACATTGCCTCCTTTATCTATATATTTTTCCATTACACAATTTCTGTTATAAGCCCAGTAAAAAAGTACGAGAATGGGATAATACTATATGCGATGGAGTAATTCTCCTCGAAGAAAACATCCTCCCCGAACAGGCATTAATCCAAGGTATGTTATAACACTACAAAATGCGTTACAAAATCGACTTTTTTAAAAAAAGTAAAAAAAGGTGTCAAGTGTAAGCGTGCTCCTTGAAAAAAAAACTTGTATCCAAATTAAATATAATTTTTTAAAGCGATAAAACCTAAATGGTATCCTTCTCTGTACTTTGATATTAACTAACTTTACTTCAGTGATATGTATATTGCTATATGTATACCCTGTATAAATGACTTGATATCAGTAAATGGCGTCAAGTTAAATAAAAATTATATACAATGTCTTATTATTCAATTACTATTACTTGTATAAAAGATTTGATATCAGTAAATGGCGTCAAGTTAAATAAAAGATTTGATATCAGTAAATGGCGTCAAGTTAAATAAAAGATTTGATATCAGTAAATGACGTCAAGTTAAATAAAAATTATGTTACTCAACCTAAGTGATGTGTATATCGTTTGTATAAAATATTTGTTGTCAGTAATTGGCGTCAAATTATACTCTCATAAAATGATTAATTTACAACCCGAGTGACATGTATGTACTTACAATACAAAATGAAAAAAATTAAATACTTAATAAAATAATTTTTAT